GATTTAGTTAATGAGATCAACTAATCTTTATCCAATAAAGACGATCACATAAATATTGATCTAACCGGATTACTAATGTCCAAATTAATAATCCTACGATCAAGAACAAATTTAGATTAAATTGTAAGAGACTTTGCTCTCATTATCATGATCTCTATCACGATGACAAATCTCAAAATTTAATCAAGGACCTTATCAAATTAATTAAATAATTAATAATAACTATGATATATAAAAGAATATCAAATGCCATATATTTTTATATAAAATAACATTCACAAAAATATGTTCAAATCATCAAATATGAGATTGGATCTAGGGCATATCTACTATATCCCTAACACCCATGTCCACCAACTTCCCTCCACACCCCCTCCCCTGTCTCCCCCAGAAAAAAAATGTCAGAACAAGAATTAAGAACAATTCAATGGGACCAAACCGAAGAGTAGAAGAAACATATTCAATGATAGAATTAGGCTATACCTCTGAAAGTAAAGCAACAACAATAGCAGAGATGCAAGGAATATCCTCAGCTAGTTGGAAGATAACACGAATAACTGTGAAGACTTGAAGATCTTTCAACTGCAACCAATTCAGGCGATGGTTAGTCATCAGAGGAACATTGTCCAGAGCAAAATTGAGAGGTGAAAGATTTGTTTTTCCCTTCGGATCTGTAGACGGGTGAAAGAGTTTAGGCACCTACCTGAATGGGTATAGAAGCAACCATTGCAGCTTGCACACCTAACACGATATTGGGATCACCACCCCATCGAAGGTCAATATCCATGGTAATTTGATCTTTTTTAAGGCTTTGAACACGAATACCTGCATTTCTCCCCCCAAAAAAGAAGCTAAAATGCTGTGTCAACTAATACAAACTCATTAAAGAATCTGACGCATGAAATAGACACCAAAAGTCTTATTGGGATGCAACAATATCATGACGAGAGATAAGCTCAGAGTATTTTGTTTCCATTAAGGGAAATGAAGCAAGATTTAAAATGAAACTAGCTGAGGATACAAAATTTAAAGGGTGCTTTTGTATGTCATACACATCCTTGTACCCAGTCAAGCTATGGAACATAAAATGAAACGGAGGGAGTAGTATATTAAGCTGTAACTATTCAGGTGACTTTTCAAACCATTAACACAACACCGTTGTGTTCTCTACAAAAGTAATGTCTATAGATTTTTCTCCTTTTCTTCAACAATGACATTAAAAATCATATCGAAAACTTGCATGACCACCATCTCATGAAGTTCTTTCGGAATCGAATCATCAGCGTAAATGAACTGAAGAAGATTCAAAACTTCATACTAAAATTCAAATGAATCTCAAAGGTCAAAAACTAGAAAACTAGCACATGCAATCACGATAAGTGTAGCAGCAGAGAACTCCAACTAAGACAAACTGACTTTTCTTTTCCAGATGTAACTAGAGAAAAAATATTGGGAATAATGCAACCCGATCCACTGAGCATTAAAAGACCAAGGTCAGTTATGCAACACTAATTAAATGTACTTATTATCTTGAAAACTTGATAGAAGGAAACAAGGCTGCATAAACTTAGAATTTCTGTCCCTGATCAAGTCATCAAACTGTTATACAGTTAAGAGGCAATTCATATGTAGCACCAAAGTACAAAACAATTAACAATGACGAAATACAATGTTTGAAAGCACCAAGGATGTGCTGGTAGGTAATCCAGTATTAAGTATGATTTAAGCAAATAACTGAACAATGAGCAGTTCTTTTGGTTGATCCGTGAAAATGAATGGTTTATGTTGGTACCTTCAATTTTAGGTGCCACAGTTCCCAAGGACAATTTGCTGAACTTCAATGAAGTTATCCCAGGTGGTCGATAATCTTCCAAAAGAGGTTCAACGGATTCTTTTATAATAGCCTCGGCTGCCTGCATAGCCAATATTCAAGAGGTAAGATTTATGACTTCATAACATGGCATTTGCAAAGGAGAAACCTCGTTCAACCACACTATGAGACAAAATGTTACTGATCTAACTAACATTTCGACATTGATACAAGTGTTTCAACATGAAGAATGTGAACTTTATTGTCTACATTATTCATGCTGTGCAATCACCATATCTGATCCAATATAGGAAAGCAAACTTTCAATTTCATTATTGAGCAGTACACTGAACTACACCCGCAACCAAACCCCCTTCTCAATTATATAAAAAGAATCATCATTCTCCATTGCACTCTCAGCCCATCTTCCAGGCTTAATTTTTCTTTTAATCAAAGCAGCTCGCAAGCATTTAAGCCCTGAAAGGAATTTGATAGTATATAATACTGATCCAGAAAAGGGTGAATCGTTATAGCTGAGGTAAGGATCAGAATGGCAAATGTCCTGTGTTCGTAAGTCTGCTTTCTGAAACCAGATCCACAACTCTGTACTGAACAAATGGCATAGTACGGCATGGCTAAATTTCAGGGAAAAGATTCTCTAAAGAGGATAAAAGGTTTGGGGATCACTATAACAGAAAATTTGGTCATTACACTGACAATAGAAGAAAACTTCCTTTTGTTTATCAGTTAGAAAGGACCTCCAATTTAATTAGCTGTGCGAAGCACAATTTGGATGATAGTAAAGTTACCAGACTAATGAAGAAAAATTGCAATAAGACAAGAGCCAAAAGCTTACCTCGGCAACAAATGGCCACAGTTTGCTCAATTGTTTGTTCAACCATTTGACCTGCCAGCGCGAGACAGCATGAGACAAATATTTTTCGATGAAAAGTATCATTTTATTAAAGTTGTTGGGAAAATACCCTGTAGGTATACCCAAAAGAAAGAGCCACACAAAGATATGGTCTACACATATGACACCTACTCATCTATGCCTACAGGAACTTGGTGGGTGCTCCAAAAGTTTTGAGACAAAATAAAAGACAAGCCCTAAGTTGTACAAAGTCATGTTCCTCCCCTTTTTCAGAAAGCTCTCTCCTGCACCTATCTCTCCAGAGTACCCACATGAGTGGCGGTAAAATGAGAGAAATGTAACACTGACAATGCGCATTATGCTTTATTTCTCTAGATTGCATAAAGGAAACATGTAAATACACCAAATGATGCATAGCTTCCAAGACTCACGAATGTCACTCATAAGATCAGGATATAACTATTATCAGATATTTTTCTGTCTTCTCACTAATTTCACGTATTACAGTAGTCTTGCTTTCCTTTGCAATATGTGACCATCCATTAATGTGTATCAACCCTCCCCCTCTCTGAGACAGAAAACAAAGGAAAAAAGGCCCCTAGCTCCCTATCTAATAAAAGTGTTATCCTCCTGTTCATCACCACTTAGCAGTGTATTTTCTCGTTCTAATTCATCGAGTCACAAAAGTAGAACCCACTTCAGTGACCTCATCTCTAAAGCAACAAGACATCATTGGTGACTATAGCACAAAGAATAAACTTCATTAAAAAAGAAGATTCGACTAAATCTTTCTTAAACTTACAACAGCAAGAACACAAGCATAATCTACTGAGTTGAGAGACAAGACATTCATTTAAATCTTAACAACCCGGTCCAAATATATCTTAACAAACTGATTCTTTGAGTTCTTCCATGGTATTGAAACCATTTATTCGCATTAACATAAACTTCTTATCCTAAATATTCCGTTCTAAAGTTGATAAGCTAAGGAAGTGTTTCAGTCAAAGCCAGTAGGTCGGTTAAGTATTCTATGAAAGACAGAACAGAAATGTCAACCATATGAGGGGAAAAACAAACTATTGAATCCCACCAACCTGTTCATAAACTGGGAACGATATCCATTCAGGAAAATTATCGCCACACATTTTCTTTAGATCATCCCTGTTGAGGGAGCCCATTAGTTTTACCTCTACTGCCTGTCAAAGAAGCAAATACGACGATAAGAAACACCATGTATACTAGTATTGAAACAACCAGTGAATAGTTCCTACTCCTCGTAGCAAATTGAGGAGAAAACTTTCATATCAATATATGTGTAACAAAGTAGAGAACGAAGCAGCAAGACTATCACAGAGGCAGCAAATGTTCAATAGTTCATCTGAGAGATATTTTTACCAATAAAAAATAAATAAAGAAAATAGAGCTTCGTTTGCAAATTTAGACAACTATCCATTTCATTTTAAGCAGTTTTATTAAGTATTTGTCCTTCTCTTCCAATGACAACAACAGGTTCATGCGAGCTAGCTGGAGTCGGCTATATGAGACCTTTCCTAACAATTCTTCTAAATATAACCTCAATTAGCCATTGCAAAGTCTGAAATTAGACAAATTACTCAAACAAAAACTAAGAATCAACTTTAACTACTTCACCCGTAATGATGTTCAGCAAAGACCAAAGCCGAGATCATTACAACACAAATCTTCAACACAGTAAGCATACCAAATTAATAAAGAAAAAATGATAATTCAAACACATCAAATTCATGAAATTATACCTTGGAAATTCGCTTGGTGCTTCGATACCTCATCATATGTTTCCAAGCCGCCATTAAACCGACTCCAAATATCATCCCCATCAGAATCCCAGAAATCAACCCCATTTTTAATTTCCTATCACAAAAACAAAGGTTCAGATATAACCAAACCAGCCAAAAGAAGAAAAGAAAAACTAGTACTAAAAAGAAGAATTCAGAAGAATAAAAACATGGAGACTTACGGTAAAATTCAAGAAACAATAAAAAAGATTCCAACTTGACTCAACTCCCTTTCTTCCAAGACATGTGAATTATATTAACTTCAACTTTTTCTTTCTTAGAAGCAAAGTTCTATTACTGATTCCTTTAGCTGATATACTTTGACTCTTTGACCTATCTCCCTATAGCCTTATTATCAGAAGTGGGTGTCAACTAAAATGGTTTAATGTTGGCAGAAAACTTTTGATTTTTTTAAGAATATGTTACAGCTGTGATCAAGGCAGCTATTTCTCTCTCTCTCTCTCTCTGCATTGAATTCTCAGATTTGTGTCAGTTTCTATCGGTATACGGAGTACTAGATTTTTTGATGTTTACCTTTTTGAGTTTTGTCTGACCGTTTCTGTACTGTACATTTTTCTGAAAGTCCAAGGTTTTTCTGTCCGTTTCGATACAGTTACTATCTTTTTAGTCTTGGGGTTATTCAACTAAAGGTTTTACACTTTTATACATTCTCGGCGCACCGAGTAAATTTTTCATTGTCTCAGTCCGGGCCGTACACAAAAAATTTTGTAAGCGGTGTTGAAATTTATAAAAGAATTGGAGTATAACTTTGATTATCATACTTTTAGATAAAAAATAACCTTAGTCTATTGATTTTGTTGAGTCTTAAGTTAGAAAAGATGTTCAATTCTACTGCATCACAATTTTTACTACAAAGGCCCTCTCATCCTACTTATCCGTTTTCGTATAGTATTAATATATATATTTAGTAAAATTTTCGGACGAAGCGGTATCGCGTGACACCGCTTCGGCAGGAATAAATCCGCCTCTGGTGTCTGCAAATCACAAAAAGGATATAACTGAACTAGACAAGTCCTGTGTGACAGACTCGACCTAAAAAATATTGAAGGGGATCGAACTCAGGTCACCTGTATGGGTGATTGCCCTATAGGTGATTGCCCTCTGAAGGGATGATTCCCTTTTTTATTATTGCATCTGAGGTGTTTTTCAATCCAAATATTTTTTTTTCGTTTTAAACGGTACGTGCGCATATTGTATCTTGAGCAATTACTAGAAGATTAATAAAATGCACATGTTCGAGTTCTAATTGTGTAAGATAACATGTCATGAAATGTAAGTTAAATTTGATCGTTATATAAATCTACACGTTACACAATTGACTATCATATCAATGAACTTTCGATAATACAGGAGCAACATATTTAACTTTCTAATTCTAATAAACTCAAACACAATAGCAATATAAGACAAATATCTAGCTTATAAGGTATGGAAATATGGCACATCCTTTTTCCTTTTGAAGTTCATGACTGTATAATCTGTACCCTTAATTAATTAGAGCTTAAAATTTAGCATACCTATTATTTGAAGAAAAAGACAAAAAACAAATAAGATGGTGGTTCTCCTACTTTTTTTTTTTTTGGGAGACTATGGTTGAAATTTTAGCAAAACAAACAAATTTCCTCTCATTTGGTTAGTGGCGGATGCACATAAAGAGTTGTGGGTGCTTAAGCACCTATTAACTTTGACCGTATTAATTAATTTATATAGGCAACAATACAAATATTTAGATAAATATTGAGTGAGCACCCACATGTAAATTTATTTTTCCTCTTCTTTTGAAGTTTTTATCGGCGAGCACCCATAACTTTAAAATCCTGGATCCGCCACCAATTTCTACAAAATAGTTAAAATGCATGCAAGTTGGTCGAATACTATCGTTCACAATTAAATAAAAAAAGAGAGAAAAGAAGAGGAGGACTTCCTATTAACACTAACCGTTACGTTAAGACCATTTATTTTGATTAAATACTAGGATTAATATGGGAAGTTATTTCAGCTTATGTTCTTTTCTTTTGGGTGAGCTAGCTTAGAACATTGTTAAAATGAATCCCCACGTTACGTTGCTTGCAAAATTCTTAGCATCTTCTCCAATCATCTGCCAACCGAATACAATATGGAGGACAATTAGTATTATACCAATTTTAGAGCATGGATGTCAACATTTAATCTTATACCGGCTTTAAAATAAATATATAAAATATTTAATTTTATGAAGAGATCACGAGTTCACATGCCCATAAAACTCCATATAAATCCGCCACTGATGTTCTCAATGTATCTATCTAGAGCAAATTATGCTATATACCCATAAAAGATAAAATATTTACCCGTAAAATATTTACCCGTATCTACCCATGTTCATTTCTATTATATTTTATACCTATGCGACACATTTATTTTACCCGCTCTACTCATTCTTATCTTTGCCATTGCTTAGCATGAAAGTTCAATTCTCAGATTCATATGCACCTCTATTGTATCTTTTAAGTGCACCACATTTTCCTAATATAATTTATACCTTATCATAATAATACTAATTAAAAATAATATAATATAATATTTATTAAATAATATATAATATTATAAAAATATATGAACCTGGAGAGCAAAAAAAGATATTATTATTATTATTTTGAAGATTTATTGTTTGATTCGATGTGGGCCCTATAAAATATTGCTTATAGTATCTTCGAGTAAGCTTCGCAAATCCAAATTTTTATGTGTATTTGAATATCCACCATTTTTGGGCTTGAAGCTCAATTTTATTTTTGAAGCTTTTTTGTTTGATTCAAAGTGGGTGCTGTTAAATATTGCTTATAGTACCTTCTGGAAGTTCATACTGAAATTTGATAGCATTTGGAGTTGATTTGAGGTGATTAAGATCAAAATTTTCAGCTGAAAATTGAAGAAGAACACACAACTACCCAATAGTATACCACTACGGTATACAATATATTGTAGGAGTATATAGCTATACTGCAACAGTATACTATTATAGTTTACAATATACTATAGGTATATTATAATAATCGAAGAAGAACACAGTTACCTAACAGTATACCGCTATAGTATACAATATACTATAGGAGTATATAGTATACTGCAACAATATATTATTAAAGTATATAATATATTGTTATAGTATACTATAATAATATGCAATATATTGTAACAGTATGTTGTAACAGTATACAATATACTGCAATAGTATACTTATTACCGTAAATTCACTTGCCTTTTCCTTTTTAATTTGCTTTAAGCTTTTACCCAACGTGAGGGGCAAATTGAAAATGCAAAAAAAAAAATTAAAAAAAATTATAGTATGCTATATAACGTAACGTTATACTCTTACAATTAGACCCTTTTAAAATTTTTTGAAATTTTTATTGACAGTTGATATTATTTTAGTTTAATAATTGAATTAAATTTTTTTTAACTCTTGCGTACAATTGTATACCTCGTTGGTATAACTATATACTATACTGATATCATATGTTAATTTATATTTTTTAATTGTATTAGCTACATTTAATTGATACACAATTTGATTTTTCTTTAGTAATAGTATATATAAAAAAAGAATAATAAAAAATAGTGAAACAGTAAATGAAATTAGATTATGAAGAGAAAAGGAATATAAATAGAAGAAGTTAAATGAAATTAGAAAGGGAAAAAAGAAAAAAATAAGAAGAAAACGAGAAAAAAAGAAAAGGAAAAAAGAAAAGAAGCATAGACATAAAAAAGAATTGGAGAATAAAGAAAAAATTCCTCACAAAAATTACTATGGGTAGGAAATGTAATTAGTTTATGAGTAAAAAAACAAATGGATAGACAAGGGTAAATAATTTTATTTTTTGGGATAACTGTGTCATTCTCCCCTCCACTGAAAAGTTAATGTATCTAGGCCACAAAGCAACCAAACATGTCATCAAAAGTTCCTCTAATTATACATTTCTTGGCTAAAATATGTTGCTAAAAAAATCAGCTAGCGTATATAATATATAAGGAAAGAAAGAAGTATGCTTTTAAAAATACAAGAGAAACATTCACATATGATATAATTAATATTCTGTTGACCAACTAATTAAACCCATATCATAGTACGTAAAACCTAACTATTTTCTTTACCAATTTCAAAAATTAGGACAACCACATTTTACCTCGTATAACCAAATGCAAAACCAATACTAGAAGCACAAAAACCACCAACAATAGACCAGCGTACCACTATAAAGATCGTGGTAACATAGGAGCTTGAGTAGCTATAATTTTATGCTTACTTAGTTAATCTGTATATTAAATTTAGAAAAGCTTCCAAGTTATTTTTTTTGGTCAAAGTACCTTTAACTTGGGTTCTTTCGAGTAAAATTTTTTATTATGATCGATCGATAACATAAAGAGTTAGTAAATCTTACGATTTGAGTAAATCGACTAGAAAAACTAGTTTGGTTCCATAATTGAGGTGTAGGTTCGATTTTTCTTAAATACCACTAGGGATCCTTTAATGATATTGTTAATTATGTGGGTTTAAAAGTGATGAGAATTCTCCATCTATAGGGAATATTTGAGATTTTAAAAAGTTGTAAGGTTCTATTTCAACATTTTAAAGAATAAGAGGACCTATTTGCATTTAATACGGCTCTGCTTCGACGCTGTAAAGAAAAGGATAGTGCTTTAGGGTTTAGCGTATTATTACAGAAAGAACAAAGATGGGAGGGAAAGGGAAAAAGAGAAGAGAGAAGAACTACAGAGCAGCACATGGAGGCACCACTAGGCTCCCTCCCCCACCCACTCCCTCCTCCCTTGATGCTCTTCCCTCTAAGCTCCGTCAAATCATGGCCTTTTCAGGTACACAATACAGTACATTCCATTGTATCTATGTTATTGCTCGTGAAGTTTTTCTAATACATGTATTTGGTGGAAATTAATAGTTTTTTTTAGTTTCTAATATTTAATTCGAAATGGGTTTTTCATATTTATGATTTTAGGTGCAGGGAAAGCTTCATCCAATAATGCAGATAGGAAGAAAGGAGATGGTGGCGGCAGTACTAATGGGAAGGTAAAGTTTGGATCTTTAAGCTTGGGCTCCTCATATTACTTGTCTTCATGGAGATAAATGTTGTACTGTAATTTGGTTGTACAAGTTGGTTTTAATGCTGAGTTTGGAGTTATTTTAGTCTTTTAATTGTAGGCAGTGTTATCTTCAGAGAATCCATAATTTGCCTTAAAAAGACAATCTTGCAAGCAGAGGTTGACCTAGGATTTGAAGGTCGTGGGTGCACTTTTGGATGCAGCCAAAATCTGCTTGGTGCCCGCTACTAATATATCACTATTTTCTAAAGACATATATATATATATATATATACACACACACACACATGGATTTTTTGCTGAACTTCACGGGTGCCGGTGACCCATCTCGGTATAGCATCGGTCCGCCTCTGCTTGCAAGTGTAGTTTATTAACATCAATATGCTCGGAAGATTCA